AAAGCTTATTCTGGCTGTAAGTTAGAGGTTACAGCCTTCATGACAGGGAAGTAACAGCAAGTGAAGTCAGCCGGTCATCCGCCCTCCGTTGTGAGCTTAGCATCCCTTACCACCACCATTTCAACTTTGCTAAGCCGCGGTGCCAGCCCAGCCCACCACTCATTCTGCTTAAGAAATAAAGAGCGTAGATGGCAGTGGCTGTGCCGAGCCATGGTCCTCTTAATGACACGGTCACCTTCTGCGGGACGGTGGCTTACTCAAGCCATCATTGCCTCCTCTCTAAAATGCTCTCAAAGCTGTCCCCCAGAGTCACTGGGAAACACCATCCCATAATAAGTGTGGAGCAGCATCGCTGGAAGGGTGGTGAAGGATTTCATGGTTGGTTTACAAAACTGCTCCACAAAATCACAATCATTACAAAGAGGGAACCAGAACTGTGTGCATGAGTTAATATGTCATTTCCCCCTACAGGGTTACCTGGAGCCACGGGAAACCCAGGGGAAAAGGGAGAAAAGGGAGATGCTGGTGAACTGGGCTCTCCTGGAAATGAGGGCCCACCGGGGCAGAAAGGTGAAAAGGGAGACAAGGGAGATGTGTCCAACGATGTGCTTCTGACAGGTAGGTTCTCTGACGCCAGGGCACTGAGACCAGCCATGTCTAACCCAGACACCAGGGCACAGAGACCCACCCTGTCCAACCCAGATGCCAGGGTGCAGAGACTCGCCCTGTCCTGACCACTCTGGTAGCTTTGATCTTCTCTGGCCCTCTGCTCTGTGGCCTGTTTCAAAATTCTTCCTTTCCTGATTTGTTTGAGAAAAGGCTTTCTGTCCCCAGGCTAGCCTGGAGCTAGAGATTGACCTTGCCCTGTGCTCCACCTTCTAAGTGTTGGGACTACAGCTCAGCACCACGATACTGTACCAAGATGCTCAGCACGACATTCTACATTTTCAAAGTTGTGCACCTTTGTCCATTCGGACAAGTCTAAGTCTGGTACCTAACGTGAATAATTTAACTCATTACCCTGATCAATAGGGTGTGGAGGGTCCTGCCTGAAATCCCAGCATGGGGAGGCGGAGGTAGCGGGGTCACTTCAAGTCTGACTGCTTGGTAAGACCAAGGCCACAACGTGAACAGAGGCAGTCTGACTAGACTGTGGTTGTTCCACCGTACTCTGGGGTGCTTCTCTTACCTGACGACTGTAGAGTGCTGAGGGTTTCAGGTGACAGGTGACCAGTCTCCTCACAGGCATTCTCATAGGCTCTAGGATTGGATGGTAATCAATTTCCTTAGGAGATGGGGGTATAGTTCAGTAATAAAGTGCTTCCCCAGCTTGCAAGAGGCTCCAGGTTTAATTCCCCAGCACAAGAAGAATGGGAAGGACGGAAGGAAGGGGAGCCAGGGAAAAGAGAAAGGTGAGGAATAAATAGAGGAAGAAGAGGGAGAGGAGAGGAAGAAGAAAAGAGTCCCTTCAGGATTCTAAGCAGTCAGAACTGGGGTCCCCTAGCCCTGCACTAACAGAGGTCAGGTCTGCTGAGAGACACTGCAGCCAGGACCCTGACCTAGTTACTTGTGACCTTAAATTAACCACCACTTCTTAGCAAAATTCTCCAGAGAGGATCCCCACACCCCCTCACAGAGGGACTTGGCACAGATCCTGCACAGAATGAACCCCCAGTGTAACATGAGGGGGCCGACTTGTCGGGGTTTCCGTCCTGCCCGGTACCCCCCAGCCGGCAAACCCCAAAGAAAATCACACACAAGACTCCATAAGGTTATAAACTGATTGGCCCATTAGGTCAGGCTACTTATTAATTCTTATGACTTATCTTAACCCATTATTCTGATCTATGTTAGCCACATGGGCTCAGTACCTTTCTCGGTGTGACAGCTTACATGTTGCCTCTTCGGTGGTCTGTACAGGAGTGGAGAGAAACCTTCCTGCTTCCCAGAATTCTCCTGTTCTCATTGTATCGCCTCTACTTCCTGTCTGGTTTTCCCACCTATACTGCCTGCCTGGCCAATCAGCGTTTTATTAAAATATGATTGACAGAATACAGACAATTCTCCCGCATCACCCCAGGACCTACTCTGGCAGTCGTCCCTAGGAAGGGGTGCACACAGGGGCACCCCAGAGCTGCTCTCTTCTCTTTCCCTAACGGGAAACTGTCTCTGTGGAAAACACTTCATCAGTTTCTCTCCCTTCTTCTCTCTAGGTGCCAAAGGTGACCAAGGCCCTCCTGGCCCGCCTGGACCCCCAGGGCCCCCAGGCCCCCCTGGAAGCAGAAAATCCAAAGGCCCTCGGCAGCCAAACACGTTCAACAGCCAGTGTTCAGGTACCGCGCTCTGCCCCCAGGGAGTCCACTCCTTCTGCTGATGACACCTCTCCAGACTTTGTGACCAGATTTTGAAAGATGGAGATGTTGTCCTAAATGAGATCCCTTCCACAATATGCTCACAGGGAAGTCTGAATTCGTGCCCCAGGCACAGGGATCATGACAGGCCAGGGTCCGTGTCCCAGGCACGAGGACATGACAGGCCAGTGTCCGTGTCCTAGGCCTAAGGACCACGATAGGCCAGCATCTGTGTCCCAGGCACAAGGACCGTGACAGGCCAGCGCTGAACCTCTCAGCCCTCCCCTCACGGCTCTCCCTGCCCTTTTCCATTTCTCTTCTTCCCTCCCCCCAACTGCAGCAGAATTTTATTTGGTTTGCTTTTTAATTCCTGTTACAACGGAAGAACACAGTGTCACTAGGTCACCCGAGGGCAACATCTTGAGGGCTCAGCTGTTAACTGTGGCAACAAATTCCCGAGAGAGTGAAATGCTGGAAGATAGTGGGGTGGTCAGTTCGGCTAAACCTGGCAGAGAATGATTACTGCATCTCCATCAGGATCTACTGTGTGTGCTGGGGGAGGGGAACCCAGAGTGCCCCGTCTACCATGTCTACGCTCTCTCTGCCGTCCTCCGCCGCCACTTAGCGGCAGACCATGTGGCCAGCCTCAGTGCTGTGGACTTAGTCCTTCTGATTCCCTTGACTGCCCTAGGGTTTGTTATCCGTGTATCTGGCTTACAGACAGAAAACAGACACCCAAGGAACCACCTGGCCCAGCTCAGTTCAAAAGTTCCCTAGAAACAAAGGGTCATAACAATGAAAAATATTTCAGCCGTGGATTTAGAACCTGAGTGGTTACCCAGACTGCCTTGCCTGTCTTAAACCGTGAGGGACAACATGACCTGCCATTTCTGCAGCAGGTGTGGAGGAGGACCCTCACCAGAGGGATTCTCTCTGACTTTCCCCAAACAACTGCATTGTTTGCAATAGTGTTCTTTCTAGAGGTTTCCAGAGAACGAACCCAGCTATCACAGTGAAACACTGTCGGGGAGCATATGGCTAGGGACTGCTAAAAAGCAAGCAACCAAGAAACATGGCAGAAATGTTATAATGGATATATACGGGTCTTGGCGAGGAAGTGAGGTTATAGATATAAGCCTATATAACCTTGCTATGGCAATAGCATCTGCTTTGACCATTGCCGTTTTAGGTGAGACGTGCGCCATACCAAATGATGACACCTTGGTGGGGAAAGTTGATGAGAAAGTAAATGAGCGCCATTCTCCGCAAACAGGTACACAGCCTGGGCTCCCTGGGCTCCCTGGGCACCCTGGGCTGGGCCTCAGTGCCAGTGCTACTTCACCAGACTGCACAGGCCCAAGATTCACCACACACAAAAATTGTTTGGAAATTCAAAACTGTATGCCTTAATTGTCCTAACTGTCAGGCGAGTAACTTGGTTTTCCTCTAACAGAATCCATGATCACCTCGATTGGAAACCCAACCCAAGTACTAAAAGTGAGAGAGACCTTTGGGACTTGGATAAGAGAGTCTGCTAACAAGAGTGACGAGCGTATCTGGGTGACAGAACATTTTTCAGGTACCTCCCTCCAGAGACGGCCCATCCGCTGCTGTGATCCTGTCTACTGCCTGCCTTCCTTCGGGCTCATTCTATATGCGCGGGTCTGAGGTCCCCACTAGTATGGGTATAAAGGCTCTTTATCTCAGAGAGTACAGCTAAGCGGGAAGAACACTTTCCTATTTGGGATGGGTTGGTTGCAAGCTTGGTAGTTCAGTCCTAGGGACCTGACTATTGCTGCCAGGTAAGCTATCCAGTTTTAACACGTTAGCCCAAAGGAAATAAACAACATGACAGGTTTTATTAACCAAATTATAATGTGGGAGTGATATGAGAGACAATTATGCCACACAAGTACTAACCATTCTGGACACACACACACTATATATATATGTATATATATAGTGATGGTTTGGCTCTGCACTCTGATCTTCAGGCAAGCTTTATTTGTTAGATCACAAGCAAAACATCACCACAAACCATCTGACTCTAAGATCTGGTGTGTTCAGGGTGATGTAGCCTTAGATAGAAAACACAAATTCTGTGTGGCCCACCCATTGTTCTGAGTAGGATACCATCCTGCGAGAGTACTTTCGGCCATGTTTCTCACATGTTTGTTGGACAGAGCCCAGGGAAGAGGGAAAAGAGTCATCTCATAGCCTCTGCATGTCTGAACCCTCCCTGTGTCTGAGGTTAGGCCCAGTCATACTGTCCCAGAGGATATGACTGAAGTGACCAGTGGTAGTAACAGTGGCCTCATCCCAGAAGGGTCTGATGGTACACATATTTTACCGTCACTAACTGATCAGAGCAACAACAACCTTCATCTACCAAGCTGAGAGTTTGGGGCTCAAAGAAAAAGAAACATGCTGTACAGGAATAGCCATGGTCTTGGCGGGTAGCCAGGGGTAGGTGGCAGCAAGCCATTGCTGTCCCAAGTGTGTGTTCCTGGGATAGGTTTGTGCTGCCCAATTTTATACATAGTATAGAGTAGGGTAGGTGGGACAGGACACGGGTTCTCTTAGCAGCCCGTCTTTTCATAGTCAGGGCCGTGGTCGCTGATGGATAACAGCCTCCCTGCTTCCCTCCTGCAGGAATCATGGTGAAGGAGTTCAAAGACCTGCAAGCTCTTCTCAACAGCAGTTTCACGCTCATCCACCTCCCGCATTACTTCCACGGCTGCGGGCATGCGGTTTTCAACAACTCTCTCTACTACCACAAAGGGGGCTCCAACACCATAGTGAGGTGAGCCAGCCGGACCGTAGTACCCTGACTGCGTCTCTGCACGGGTCCTGCTATGCCCACTGTGTGTTGTCTTTTGCAGTTGTTTAGATGTGCCTAGGTAGGTCAGTCAGGGTTTGTCCCACAAGGGAATGGCGGGATATGGTGAAGGAATCCCATGTCCTGGTCCCTGCCTGGGGTCTGCCTTTCTTGCTGATGTGGACCCATGAGAAGATGAGAAGCAGGGAGGAAGAGATATGGAGTGTGGTATCTCATATCCTTTGAGACAGGAAGCAAGCAGAGCAGAGTCCTCCTGGCACAGAGGGCCATTCTCTGACGTGGGGGAGAGGCTCACTTATTTCTCCTTTCTCTTGAGACAAGCTGTGTTGTTAAAATTCTTTCCCTGGGAAAGACAAAAACAACATGTATCCCGCTGCCTGAAGTCCCAATGACAAACAGAAGTATGATTCCACCATAGTTCAGTCTAGGGAACCAATGAGTTCTTAGGCTTACTTACAGAACAATGAGTGAGGGGCTACCAGCAGGAACACGGGTGACTTTAAAGCAGCCACACTGGAAAGTCTACACGCAGCATGGGTGATGGCTGCCTCTTTCCCCAGCCCTTCCCCACCTGTGAGCTCCAGCCCTTTCCCAAGACCCCCAGGCCATATGCAATTTGGGCAGAACTACACACAACTGGTTGGGAGGAGTGGCCGAATAATCAAGTGAGGAACCCGTGATCCCCCCACCCCCATGAGGATACTCAGGTGAGGGACCTGCGACCCTCCCCGGCTCCCCTTCTATGAGGGAAGGTCAGCAGCCTTTGTGCCCAGCTATAATGACCTTGTACAAGCAGGCTCAGCCAATTTGGCGTGAAGGACAGCGAAGACAGCAAATGTCCCTCCTTTCCTCACGCTCCTCTCCTGCTCTCCCATCGCCTCCTTCTCCACTCATCTCTGTCACCCTTCTGGGACAAACTCTCCAGTACTTGTAGCAGGGAATTCACCCCTGCTGTGCTTCTCCATCACTGTCATCTGATGTCTGATTAGCCTGCAGCTCTCTGCTGCCATGTTACCAGGGTTACAGGGCCACATTTGGCATGGGGGACTTCTGGGGTGAAGAAGTCCCAGAATGAGAAACAAACTATTTAAAATGGGGTTTGGGGGTTTTATCTTTGAGGTGTGGGGTCAAACCCAGGGCCTCACACATACTGAAATGGTCTTCACCAGCAACCTGGAGCCCCTCCCTCCTTTTCCACTTTTTATTTTTATTGTGAGAATGCCTTTTCCTTGGGGGATGTAAAGAATACTCTGCCCCTCCTTCCAGAGCACTAGCAGGCAGAAGTGTGGTCCCACTAAAGTCCACCTTGGGGAACCAGTGAATTTATTGGGCATGCTTTTAATGCTTGGGTGACCCCAAAACAGTCCCACCACCAGGATGTCTCACCCCAGCACAGATGGTGCCTTCTCACCAACTTCACAGATTGAGTCCCCTCCCCACTGCAGTGAGGAGCGCTCCCCACAAGGCCACATGCAACTGAGGCGGAATTACAGACAAATGGCCAGAATCTCAGGCAAGGATTCAGCAACCCTTCCGATCCCCAGTGACCTAGGAAGCAGTCAGCAAAGCCAGTCATAGGATCTGCTGCTATGCAGATGACAGTTGCTATGCTCAGAGCACAGCAGTCTACAGCAGTCTTGCCATGTTGCCCAGACTGCTCTTAAATTCTCTGTGTGGTAGCCGGGTGGTGGTGGCGAATCTCTGTGAGTTCAAGTTCAGCCAGCTCTACAAGAGCTAGTTCCAGGACAGGCTCCAAAAGCTACAGAGAAACCCTGTCTCAAACAAACAAGAAGAAGGAGGAAGAGGAGGAGGAGGAGGAGAAGGCGGAGGAAGAAGAAGAAGAAGAAGAAGAAGAAGAAGAAGAGGAGGAGGAGGAGGAGGAGGAGGAGGAGGAGGAGGAGGAGGAGGA